GCTGCTTTCCTTTCTTGCTTTGCTGCTTCTGATTCTGCTGGTCGCGGCCTTGGTTGGTGTTGTTGCTCAATCCCTATCTCTTGGTGTTCCTCCGCCTCCGCTTCCGACTCCGAATGTTCTACCTCTGATGGTTCTGGCGTGTCCGATGTGTCTCCGTCTGACGATTGTTCCGGCGCTACTTCCACCAGATCCCTCTCCAGCACTACATACTGTTCTTCCACTTCAGCCACCGCCTCCCATGCGTAAGTGCGTCCTCTGGAGAACGCCGAGATGGCTGGAGGCCCACAGGGTTTTTTTTTTTTTTTTTTTTTTGGTCTTCCGGCCGCTCTGTTCTAAAGTTATCCTGAGCGCTTCAGCATGCTGTTTAGTATCTAATCGATAGCACAAGTACGATGTCTTCAAGCAAAGTCGCCCAGAGGAAGAGCGCTGGGCTCATAACCCAGAGGTCGGTGGATCGAAACCACCCTTTGCTATAACGCTATAACTTTTATTCTATCTGTTGTGCCGCCACCCTGGTTACTGCACTCTTCTTTGACCATGGCAGTTGATGCGTGTTCTGAGTGCGTTGATACGATGCGAATCGGTGAGGGAGACGCGGTCGCTGTCTCTTGTCCATGTCGTCTGTTTTGCTGAGAAGTCAACGACATTTGCAACTGATCTCTCTTTCTTTGTATTTCACGACGCGTCTAGTATTGCTCCCTCTTTTTTTTTTTTTTTTACAGAGCTCCGTCTGCAGACAAAGGGCTAGGGAAATGTCTGTCGTGTTCACTTCCTCTGGAGCCACTCATCCACACATGCACAGAGCGCGAGGGTTTGCCTTGGTCTATTCTTAGACCATTGCGTTGCATACGACACTGCAGTCAAGTGCTGGTCTCTCGGAGGTCATGAATCACGTCGGATGCGCGGCATGGTCTTTCTATTCCCTCTCTTACTCTCTCTCTTCTTCATTCCAACTGGCTCCTGTCGCCAGTGGATGTCCGTCGCCCGTGTGTACATGTGGAGTGCGTGTAGGACGGAGCGATAGGATCCTGATCCACACGTCTGAACAGAACACAGAACGAAGAAGCCCGCCTTCCGCCTTGACTCGATGCGCCTGTCGTTATTTGTTATTTGTCTGTGGTCGCTCACATACACACTGCTTCTCTTCCCTATCCTCCTTTTGTCCTTGGTATCTTTGCTCCCTCTTACTCGCCCTCTCTCTTTCTCATTCTCTCCTCCTCTTCAGTCGTTATCTTCTAATTCACTCCTCCTGCTCCTCCCTCCTTCCATTTCCTGTTAATCCCTTCCCTACCCTTCCCCACTCACTCTCCGCTCAGGAAGACCGCTCCACTCCCCACGTCCATCCTCCATCCATCCAAACACACATTGACATACAACTACATATACACACAACTACACAGATACGTCGCCTTCTTCGCTATGTCCAGTCCTGACGACGGCTCATCCATGTCAACACTCGATGCTCAGCATGACAAGTACGTGGGGCTCATGCTGGCCGTGTCTTCATCTCTCATGATCGGCATATCCTTTGTTATCACCAAAAAGGGCCTCATCGACTCTACCAGCAGGCATGGTGGTCATGGCTCTGCCTCTGATCAGTATCTCTTCCTCAAGAACCCCATCTGGCTACTGGGAATGCTCACCAGTACGTTTTTTTTCTTCACTCACTCTCAAGCACAGCTTCTGTTCTTCCGGTAAAAAAGAACATTTGCATTGACTCTTTGCCCAACAATCTGACTTTAATCACCTCGATTGTCTCCGTCACTATTTTCTGTTTCTCATCCTTGTAGTGGCGGCAGGAGAGATTGCCAATTTTGCAGCCTACTCTTTTGCGCCTGCCATCCTCGTCACTCCTCTGGGCGCCCTGAGCGTTATTATTGGGTAAGGACTCTACATCATTTGATGGAACTATCTGTCGACCGCATTGCTACGGCTCTCTTGCTCCCGCTGTGTATGCGCGTGTGTCTCCTCTTCGGCCTCCAAGGAATAGGAATAACAGCTGGAAACAGGATGAATGGATATGCACGGTTCCTGCTTTGTTAGCAGACGGTGCCAGCACTTATGACTTGGGAATCGAGCAGAGCAAGTAAATGTACGACTTTCAAGGGACAAAGGGCATACGGACCGTTGGAATCAGAACAGAGGCGGCTGGAGAAACTACCGACTAGAATGGCTCCGATGGCATCAGGGACAGCGACATTGGCAGTCTTTAACGACAGCAACGGCAGTACTAACTGCAGTGGCGTTGAAACAAACTAATGATGGGCGCTGAATCGATCATGTTTCTCGGACTTGCTAGGGCTGTTCTGGCCTCATTTTTCCTCCACGAGAAGCTTGGCATCGTTGGCAAGGTTGGATGTGCCCTCTGTTTGATCGGCTCTGTCGTGATCGTTTTACACGCACCCGAGGACAAGGATATCAACTCTGTGGATGAGATCCTCAACTACGCCATTCAGCCTGGTAAGCATCCTATGCTCGAAGTTCAAGATGTCTGCTTTCTATCAGGCTTTTCCCTTTGGCACTGGTTTCACGGGCGGGCCGGCACTTTGTCGACAAGAGTGAGCAGAAGGGTGGGCATGTGCAGCGAATTCACAACAGCTGGGGTTTTTTTGAGATAAAACACGCCGACATGGTTACAACAGTGAAGGGAGAAGCCGATGAAGAAACCTATTCAGGATGATCAATCGGGAATTATTATGGGTGCCAAGCAACCTTGCTCTGTACGACTGGCGGCCAACTATCCAGACATATTATATTGTGGGCAATTACTATTCCGATAGACCGTGGCTCATGTTGCACAAGCGGTGGGCGTGAGAGCGTTGGTCCACACCCAGAGCAAGGGGCATGTGCCAAACAGCCGCAGGGTCACTAGTACAATAACTAGTACATTTTCAGATGAGACTGGGCTGTAGGATTTCTCCTCGAGAACGCTCTCTGCGCCCTAGACGACAACACCCACTCCAGTCATTGGACCACTATATGGCCCGTTCAGACAGTCCATCTAGAGCTCAGCTAATATGTCAATCCTGTTCCCCTCTTTATTGCTGCAATAGCCTTCATGATGTATAGCCTGTTTGTGCTGGGCTTCTCGACATTTATGATTTACAGGGTCGTTCCAAAATATGGAAACAAAACTCCGATAGTCAACATCTCGATCTGCTCGTTCGTCGGGTCTATCACGGTCATGGCGTCCAAGGGTTTTGGAATTGCGCTCAAGCTGACCTTTGCTGGCTCAAATCAGTTGACGCATCCATCGACCTATGTGTTTGCCATCATGGTCGGGGTGTGTATCGTCGTCCAGATGAACTACTTCAACAAAGCGTTAGACATTTTTTCGACCAATGTGTAAGTTTTATCACATTTGTCAACATCTAAGAAATTAATTAGAATGCCAAGTCGCTTTTATCAAAGACTAACACGCCCCGCTTTTCTTTGCGTATTCGATCGTGTCCTGAATAGCGTCATGCCTATCTACTATGTCATGTTCACAACAGCTACGATTACTGCGTCCGTTATTCTCTTCCAGGGCTTCAATACTACCTCAACAGTCAATGTAGTTTCTCTGTTTTGTGGGTTCGGTACCATTTTTTCCGGCGTGTTGCTTCTCAACAATGCACAACATCCAATCGTAGAGTCGCATGGAAAGAGCGGGACAATTACCAATGGCACAGGTGGCCATGGTTTCGCAGACAGGAGAGCTTCGCGTGAGTCGACATTGATGAATGCATTTGATGAGGAGAGTCTTGGCCTGACACAGCTGCGTGAGGAAGATGACGATGACGAGTTGACAGAAGATGAGGACAGGAGAGTACGGATGGGATCTGGAGGCCATTCACATCTCCATTAAGCGAAAGGACTTCTAACAGTCAATTCGATAGACGAGAGACATTAGCGGGACATGCGATCTCACAAGCATTCATAAAAAAAAAAGTCATGGTCTTTTATGTGAATAAAAATATGTGTATATCCAAGCTCTACGCTCACTGTTCATCTTTCTCTACATGCAAAGAGTTATTGTGGAATGGCCGCTCCCTCTCCAGCTGGCGCTCCGCATAGTCACCCTCGCCGCACAACTCTTCCAGTGTCTTGCCCTTGGTCTCGGGTACCAGATAGGTAAAGAGTAGACCGATAAACATGAATAGGGCAAAAATTTGGAGCAATCTGGGGATGGCGGCATTGGTTCCGCCCCTGTCTTTCATGCTTGAAAAGCCAATCTGCGCAACAATAGCACCCAACTTGCCCATTCCTGCGGAAATACCATGACCCGTGGAACGAAACCGAGTGGGGAATACCTCTCCAGGAATAATGAATGTGGTAGCATTGGGACCAAAATTCTGAAAGAACTGGGTCACAGCAAACAAAAAGACAAAGAGCACCGGAGAATAGTCGCGGATGGGCTGGTAGGCGAACCCCAAGACACAAAAGAGGATGCAGGACATGACAAAACCAATAACTTGGATCTTAATGCGACCTAGGCGCTCGATCGTAAACACAGTGACCCAGTATCCGGGGATAGCGCCCAGCAGAACGATGATAACCTGGCCTACGGTGGCGTTCCACATAGTATGGTATGCATCGCCATCAACAGACCCAAAGTGAATGGTCGATAGAATAAAGGTGTTGTTGAGGCCAATACCATAAAAGGCCACGTCCAGGGCAAACCAGGTCATGGAGGTGCCTAACAAGACCTTAAACGTCTCCCAGCGCGAAAAGTAGATACAAAAGTCGCACAAGGTAGCTTGATGGCTAGTTTTTGAGCCATCACGGGCGCCGTAGAGGGAATGGAAGGTGGGAGCTGTGGTATTTCCTGCCGACGGATGGTTGTCCATGTACCGCGTCCGCTCTGCTCCTCTAAGGCTGCTCTTGCGTGGGGAAACCATGTTAAGCTGTATGTATTCACCCTCAAAGAGGTCGCGATCACTTTGAAGTGCGTTGCGGGTCTTGAGCACTGTGTGGACATCATGTTCAGCCTTGTTTAAGTTGTGCTCGACATCCAGCACAAAGCGAGGAGTCTCTGGGATGGTGAGGCGGAAGTAGACTGCCAATAATGCTGGGACACATCCTAGACCAATCAAGCAGCGCCAGACATAGTCCAGATTCTTGGGGTCGGCCTCAATCGTGGTCCGAAATGCCAGCAGCAAAATGATAGCGACCACGCCTGTGGTCAGATAGCCAAACCCCTGCATCGCAAAGACCGCAGCCATCATGGCACCTCGCCGATGAGTTGTCGCAAACTCGGATGTGATGACTGCAGAGAGTGGGTAGTCACCACCGACACCGACACCAAGAATGAATCGCCAGAGAATGATTCCTGCAAAGAATGGGAAGGCAGGACTGTTGCCACAGAGACTCTGACCAAAAGTGGCCACAATGATGATGAGGAGCTCAACACCATACATCTGAGATAGGATATATACGAATAGGAAGAGGGTTAAATCTTTGCACTACCGCAATACACACATACACGCCTGTG